GTCAGTCAAGTCAATTCATCAGCCAGCCAGTCAGTCACTGCTGCAGGCCAGGTCGAGTCGCTGTAACTCCAGCGCTTGCGGCCTGTCACCACCCCCCTGTCCTGCACCTCACCCTCCACCCGTCCCCCCCCAAAAATACCTGGGCACTCCACTCCACGCAGTACTTTGCGGAAAGAGTGGAATATTCTCGAGAAAGCATTTCGAAAAAAAGCCGAGGGGAAAAAAGTATCGTGAGAAGCAAACACCCACCCTCACTTTTTTTTTTTCTTCCTCTTTCCCCGCTGCCCCTCCCTCCTCTTTTTCCGTCATCCTCGCGCCGTGGTCCGAACCCCCCTCCCCGATCGATCTCGCGCATCGCATCTGCATCGGTGGTCGTCCAACGCTTTCTACTACGCACTATTTCACTCTGCTGCTTCTTCCCTCATTTGTCGCAAAGGGCATAGCATGCGCCCGCGTCCTCTCTCTATTCACTTGTGCAATTACGCAACGCAACCCAACGTCTTATTCTTCTGCCGGAGGAAAAGCTCACAGCTGACATACGGATACAAGCCTGCTTGGAAGTAAAGGAAAGAAAGCAAGCAAGCAACGGGCCTGAGACAAGCACAGGCATAAATCCAATCACATCCCGCCGTCCTCCCACATTCATCCATCATCCTCGCACCTCTCAGCCACACTCCTTCGCCCTCTTCTTGGACGTAATTGCAGCTACCTACCTACCTTCGTCCAACCTAACTCAGCTCCTCCGAGGTACCTCTCTTACAACAACACCTTGTACTACCGCCGCCGCACTCCATAAAGCGCTGGGTCGCCTCGCCTCGCCTCCATCCGCCTTGACACCGGCGATCCCTTCCCCAATCTCGACGCAACCCAAGAACGCCTGCAGCAGCTCTCCTCAACCACCCATTCCCCTTACCTCAATTCACCTCGACCTTCTTTTCCTCTCTCCACATGTTCTGCTCGACGAAAAGCTGCTCATAGCTCCCCGCCTCCTCCACATCGTCGCCAGTCCTCCACACCTTGTCCTTACCCGTCTCCGCCTGCCTGTGCTTCACCTTAATAGCACCCTCCCTTTCCCTCCTTTCGACATCCGACGACCGACCGAGGGTCAACATCGCCACCTACCAAACACAATCGCCAGAGGCTTGAGGGCTACACTCGAGCCAGACTGCCCAGCATGACAGTTTTCATCGCATCACTGTGAGTAGCTCCTTCGTCTGCCAGCAACCGAATTGCTCTTTTTGCCCCTCCAACCAGCTTGGCAACGTTTCGAGGACCTTGCAGACCCCTCTGCAGATGCACTTGGAGTCCGTCGACGTCCTCCGCGGTCCCTTCCGTGCCTCAGTTCTCGATCGCCTTGCCATTAGAGGCCGTTTTCTGACCTGGCGACTCTAGATTCCTCCCCAAAACCGTACACTTCGCCCTCCCCGGCACTCCCTCCCGCGGAGACCGTCTTCGCCGCACAAAGATCGAGAAGCGTCCCGAGCCCGATCGCCAGCCGAGTCTGTTCAACCCCATCCGCGACATCACACCCCCGATCACACCGACCGAAGAGACCCCCGAAAAGGACCCATTCACAAACGAGGATGGCTTCCGCATACAATTCCCCGAGGAGGAGAAGAAGCGCGGCGCGCACGTAGACAAGGGCTCCCCCAAGTGGGGTGCCCGCGCAACCCAGCCCAAGTCGCGCGCGAGCTCTCCCCCGCCCGCCATCATCGCCGAACACAGCCGCACCCTCGAAAAGGCCAGGGAACTCGGTCGCCAGGGCGTCACCCAGCCGCGTCCTCTCGCCAGAAGCGACAGCCACGACCGCGTCTTCGCCCACGCCAACTGGCGCATTATGAGTGCCGACCAGGGCAACGGCGGCCTGCGCAACGCCGCCGAGGCTGCTGCCCGCGATGGAAAGCTCGGAGACTACACCTGGGTCGGCACATTGGGCATGCCCACCGACGCTCTCGAGGGCACCCAGCAGAAGCAGGACATCGAGGACAGACTGGCCACTGAGCATGACATGCTGACCGTTTTCACCTCCGACAAGGACTTTGACGGCCACTACTCGCACTTCTGCAAGCAGATTCTGTGGCCCGTCTTCCACTACCAGATCCCCGACAACCCAAAGAGCAAAGCCTTCGAGGACCATTCGTGGAAGTACTACGTCAATGTCAACCAGGCCTTTGCCGACAAGATTGTCAAGAACTGGAAGCGCGGCGACGTCATCTGGGTCCACGACTACCACCTGCTGCTTGTCCCCGGAATGGTCCGTAAGAAGCTGCCCGAGGCCAAGATTGGCTTTTTCCTGCACGTCGCATTCCCTTCCTCTGAGGTCTTCAGGTGTCTGGCTGTGCGCAAGCAGCTCCTCGAGGGCATGCTCGGCGCCAACCTAATCGGCTTCCAGATCCACGAGTACACTCGCCACTTCCTCCAGACCTGCAGCAGACTGTTGAACGTCGAGGCCACCACCGATGGTCTGCAGTTGGAGGACCGCTTCGTCGACGTCGTCAACCTGCCGATTGGCATCGACCCCGTCAACCTCAGCGAACATCGCGCAGACGCCGACGTGGAGAAGTGGATGGACATCATGAAGGAACGCTACAGGGGCAAGAAGCTCATTGTTGCTCGTGACAAGCTCGACCACGTCCGCGGCGTCCGCCAGAAGCTGCTGTCCTACGAGCTGTTCCTCAACAAGAACCCAGAGTGGCGCGACAAGATTGTCCTCATCCAGGTCGCCCTCTCCAGCAGCGAGAAGTCCGACCTGGACGCGGCTGTTAGCGACATCGTCACCAGAGTCAACTCCTCGTGGGCCAACCTGGCCTACCAGCCCGTCGTATACCTCAAGCAGGACATCGACTACGCCCAGTACTTGGCCCTGCTCACCATGGCCGACGCCCTGATGATAACGAGTCAGCGCGAAGGCATGAACCTGACGTCCCACGAGTACCTATTCTGCCAAGACGGAAAGGTTTTCCCCGAGAAGAAGCACGGTTCTTTGATCCTCTCCGAATTTACCGGTACCGCCTCGCTCTTTGGCGGCAACGAGCTCTCCGTCAACCCTTGGGACTACCGACAATGCGCCGACGCCATCAAGAAGGCCCTCGAGATGGGCGGCGACGAGAAGGAGCGCCGCTGGAACGCTCTGTATTCTGCCGTCATGCACCACACCGGCTCGCACTGGTTTAGTGAGTTCCTGTCCAGGCTGGATCGCGTGTACGACGAGCAGCACAAGCGTGACCAACTCTCCGTCCCCCGCTTGAACATCAACACCCTTGCCCAAAGATACTCCCGCAGCGAGCGTCGCTTGTTCATCCTCGACTACGAGGGTACCCTGGTTAGCTGGGGACCGATGAACCAGATCATCCCCGTCAGCCCTCAGGTGCGTAACTTATTTACTTGGTCTTGCTTCTCTTACTAACAATAGCAGCGTACTCTCGACGTACTGAATGATCTCCTCCTGGACGAGCGCAACACCGTTTATATCATGTCCGGTCGTCGCCCCGAGGAGCTCGACCGCCTGTTCCGCCGCGTGCCCAATCTGGGCCTGATCGCCGAGAACGGCTGCTTCCTCAAGGACTGTGGTCGCAGCAACTGGACCGAGATGGCCGATAGAGAGCAGATTAACAGCTGGAAGGAGTCGGTCAAGTCGATCATGACGTACTACCTCGAGCGTACACCTGGCGCCGAAATCGAGGAGCGCCGCTGCAGTCTCATCTTCCACTACAAGAGCGCCGAGGACTACGAATCGGCCGCCCGCCAGGCCTCAGACTGCGCCAGCCATGTCAACGATGCCTGCGAGGAGCAGCGCGTGCACGCAATTGCCCTCGACGGTTCCATCGTGGTTGAGCCTATCGACTGGACCAAGAGCACCGCCGCCGAGAAGATCTTTGACGATCTGCGCATCCACATGGCCCCCGATGCCGAGCACAAGAGCCCCGTCGACTTCCTCATGGTTGTTGGAGACGGCCGTGAAGATGAGAAGGTGTTCCGATGGGCCAACGCCCTCGGTGATGACAAGGTGGTCAACGACGTTGTGACTGTCAGCTTGCACAGCCGCAACACCGAGGCCGGCGCTACCCTGACTCAGGGTGTCAGTGGTAAGTTGGCTCGACATCTCGATTCTATTCCGGTTGCTAACAAAATCGCAGGCGTCCTCCTCGCCCTCCAGAAACTTGCCTCGCTTTAGAGGCCATGCATTCACGAATGCATTCGGCGGCGCTGTTCCGCATCTTCACTCGCCGTTCCAGGCGCACAGCAGATTTGATTGTTCTCGACCCGGCCATAACACCGGGCAAATGATACCATAGTGGGTTAGCAGCATCAGGGTGGAAACACAGACAGGGAATTGCGAAGGCGTACAAAACATTGGGCATGGATTTCATTATTTCATACACGTCTTGGGCAACGATGACGAACACTCTGCACTGCATTGGGAGCATGCATCAACATGCATTTATGGAGGGCGACCTCCAACGAGAAATATTTCCTTAATCTCTTTTTCATCCGTTTCCTGTTTTCGTTGTTTTTTTCTCGTTTCGCGTCTCCCTGCCCATCACGCAGTACCACACACGCACACACATCTCACGAGTAACGCTTGCTTTGGTTTTCGTGCCCGAAGTGAAGCTTGTGATGTTGATGAGACTGACTATGTAAACGCTGCGAGAAACGACATCCGCCCACCACCACACACCCCCTACTCTTATGTATTTTTAGGTTGCGTTCTTTTGCGTTGTGAGCTCGGAGAGCATGGTTGTGTGAGTATGCTTACGCATGCTAGGACGTGCCCGGGACGGTCCTGTGTACATGTACGAAAGAGAAGTGTAAAGATAGAGGAGAGGGTTAGAAGGTAGCATTTTAAACCAATGGCATCATGCACCGTCACGATATGTCTTCAGCTTGTTGTTTCTGTGTCATCATGCACCGTCACGATATGTCTTCAGCTTGTTCTTTCTGTGTTGTTTGCTGACTTCAGGCGCCTATGTCAACTATGCTTAAGTAAGTTCGTTGAAGCATCATACCAATGTATACCGCCCAGAATGAAGCAACGTAAACCGCCACATCCCCTTCACCGTCCCCATCACCCGGAACCTCATCTCTTCCTCCTCGCCGACCCCGCTATCCTCGCTCCTCTCGACCTCCTCCACGACCCACGACACGCTGAGCCCCCGCGTCTTCGACCGCGGGATCGACTCCAGCTGTGCCTGGAACGGCGTCAGCACCAGCGTGCCCAGCGCATCCTCCCCGCCGAGGTCGAAGACAGCCCGGCGGTCGGTGAACTCTGACGCGGAGATTTGGCCGGCCAGGAGGCCAGAGTACATCCGTATCGGAACCATGTTGCGCAGCGGACTGGCGGATTTTGAGCGTGATGAGGTGCTGAGAAAGCGGTCGTTCATGAGGTCGATGAATTTGGTTAGGAGGGATATCTGCAGCAGGCGTTCCGCGTGGGTTTGGGTGGACAGGTGGGCGGAGGTGGAGCGGAAGAAGGAGATCATGGCGGACGGGTCGAGGTCTGAGAGGAGGGAGGGCCATTGTTCCGCCCCCGGCACTGCGGCGGCGGGCTCGGACTCGGGGTCGGGGGATGGTGGGTGAGGGTTGAAGGGGAGGTATCCCGCGTCCACGGGCTCCGCGACCCAGACCCCGCCGAGCTCCATGATGCGGTCGGCGATCCAGGCCTGGTGGGGGAGCTTCTCAGCCACCGCCCAGCTGAACCAGAACATGCCATCCCGGTTCGCGATGTTTGTGTCCTCTGGGATCTGCAGGACGGACTCGAGGGGCGTGTCCGGGGTTTGGGCGCGGTACTTTGCGTCCGAGGTGGAGTTGAAGATTGCGTCGGCGAGCTGGAGCATGTTGCGGGCTTTGAGGAGGGTGAGGGTCTCGTGGAGGATGTGCGTGAGGGCTTGTCGGCGGGTTGAGGGGGGTACGCCGGGGAGTTTGGCGCGGTGCCAGGCGGAGGCGTATTTGAGCTTGATGGGCTCGAGGGAGACGAAGGAGGTTACTTTCCAGAGGGTGCCGGCGAGGGAGAGGCCTTTGGAGGAGAGGGTGTAGAGGCGCGGGTCGTCTGGGACGGCGGTGTTGGAGGAGGGTGTGAGGGTTGCTGCGTCGGAGAGGCGGAGGGTGCGGGTGAGGGAGTGGAGGAAGGTGAAGTCTGCGTCTCGACCGGATGGGAATGCTGCCGGCTTGTGAGTTTGTGGTGGTGGGTGAGTTGGCGTTGACTTACACAGCGGATACCCCTCCGGCGTCTTATACATCTCGGGCACCAGCAACGACAGGTCCCCGTTGAGGAGTGCGAGCGCCAGCAGACAATGTGACAGCCCGTACCCGCCCTTTTCGAGTTCGACGGTATCGAGCCGCTGCTCGTACCCGCACAGGTTCGCGAGGATGGCCACCCGGTCCGCGACGCGGAACAGATCCCGCTGGTTGAGGAAGGCGAGCGCGGTGGCGGCGTCGCAGCGCTTGCGGTCCCAGAAGTCGGCGCCCAGGCCGATGCGGAAGTCGTTGTCGATGGCGCGGGGGTAGAAGAAGCGCACCCTCTCGAACAGCTCGACGGCCATGGACGACGACGGGTTTGCTGGGGAAGGAGAGAGCAGCGGGGTGAGGTAGGGCAGGACGTGGTTCTCGAGCGCGTCCTGGAGCATGAGGATGCAGACTGCGGTCTCGGAGAGGGACTTTTCGTGGCAGATTAGCCACCAGCCTGTGGTATCGGTGGAGGGGTCGCGGGGGAAGAGGAGCAGCATGCGGTCGGCGGACACGAAGGATTCCTGGAGGACCCAGGCTCTGGTTGTCCAGCGGTCGGTGATGAGCGCGAAGACGGCGGAGATGAGGTCGTTGGCGAAGTGCTGCATCGGAGGGCGAGGTTTGCGGACGGGGGCGGCGCCGCGGCGGTGGGGGGAGGCGGCGCCGGAGTCTTCGTGGCGGAGCTCGGCTTGGAGGAGGAGGGCTTCGAGGTGGGCTTGGGTCCAGAGGGTGGACATGAGGCCGATGCAGGTGTGCGCGCGCTGGTAGACGAGGTCCATTGACTGGATGCCGAGTTCCTTTTCGGAGGGGTTGGCTTGGTCGATGCACTCCTGGATGGTGTCAGTTGAACGACGTTGAAGTGGTTGGCATATCAAGAGACGGGAGGGTGTGGTACTTGGTCAATCCATATCATTCGAAACCCATTCTCCCTCGCAAATCTCACCACGCGGTCAATCGTGGCGCGGGGAGCCCTCATCGCGCGTTTTGTGCCATCCTCTTCGATAACGGTATACGGCGGAAGAGACGCTGCCTCGCCGTCATCATCCGACGGCTGGCTTTCCCAGCAGTACGACACAGCTACAAAATGGCGACACTCCGAAAACACCGCATCCTCCTCCGTCACCACAGCCCTTCGAATCCGGAACGTCGAGACCGTCCCCGTATTCGGGAAGAGAGGAACATGCTGGCACCCGTCGCAGGTCAAATCCTCTACATGGGTGCACGGGTCCGGGAAATCGGCCAGCTTCAGTTCCCACGCCGCCAGCGACTCCGGGGTGGGCCGGATGTTGGCGTGCGCGGCGCACATGTGCCCCGCCGGCGCCGGGACCCTCTCGGCGCATCGCCGGCATTGCCCCCGGGTCGGGGTCGAGGTTGCGGCATCGTGTTGGTCGGCGCCGTTGTCGAAAGTGAGGAAGCGGAGATTCCGCGCCCAGCGCTTGGCGTTGTCGCGCGGGCCGGCGTGTTTTAGGATCCCGTCGATTTGGGAGGAGAATTTGAGGTTGGAGATGTTGGCGTTGCGGATGTCGTCCTCCATGATTGGGTTCCTGGTCTACGTTGTGACGCCAAGAAATGGAAACTGTGGTCTGCGTAACGTCAGCTTTATCGTTGGCGCAATTGTTGCTGCCTAGTTGGAGCGCCTTCTCTTATTTGCCGCCCTATCTGACCTGCATACGGATTGCTGCGGGCCAATAATGCTGAGGTTCCATCATCAAGTCCGAGAAATCATGAAGGCCCTGTCGATGTATGGCAAGCATGTACGAACACCACTAAACGGGTTGTAACGCGAGGCCTGCGTCTTGGTCGGCATGTATGCGTACCCTTTCTCCGCCAACTCTGTTGCCATAGCATGCCCATTTATCTCAACTTCAAGGCTAACATGAATTCATACCTCAATATTAAGTCACTACGTTAGAGAAGGTACAAAATGCCGTTTGCACGAGTGTGTCGAAATACTATGTGCAGCCACAGAAAACATCGCTCGGTACAACTAAGCTCAGTGGTGTAGTAGGACATCGACTGTTGTGTTCTTGCTCCGGACTCTCGTCGTACGTAACGTGGTCCAATGACACTGGCAAGATGACGGATTGGCCTCAGACGACTGCGCTAGCGGATGCAGTCATCATGGGCTTTCACGGTCTGCCTTATGGCCAGGATGACAGCAGCTCTCAGCCGCAGTGGGGGATCTAATAAATCGAATAGTCCTTCTCCTTAACTCATCAATCATATCCTTCTTTCACAACCTGACAGCTCCCATCCCCTAACACAAAGCAAACCTTCACAATGGACACCCCAGACTCCTACTCCAGCGCCGCCTACTCCTCAGACGACAGCCGCCCGCAACGCCCTCCCCGCCGGCGCTCCCGATCCTCCGACGACGAGGAAAAGACCAAACTCACCGACATCGGCCAGACGCCCGAGGTCAAGGAGTTCTACCGCAAGAGCCGACGCGACCTCTGGGAGGACTGGGCGCCCGAGTACGTCGGCCTTGCGGGCTCCGCTGCCGCCTCGGCCAAGTTCGCCCTCATCGTGCGCCGCGAGGTCAACGTCGAGGCGACTGACGGCAACGTCCTCGCGCTGCACTCCGTCATCGTCAACAGCCCGCACATCAAGCGCGCGCTGGGCGACGTGTTCCAGGGTTACCCCGGCATCAGCACGACGCTGAAGAAGGTCGAGTTCAAGGCGCCGTTCCAGCCGTTCTTCCACCGCTGGCGGGCGCTGCAGAAGTGCGTGGAGGACGAGGAGGGGGCGGACGAGCTGGCGAGGCAGCATGTGAAGCTGCTGTATGATGTGCTGGCGCCGGAGATCAAGCCGCACATTGAGCGCGCGCGGGACCTGAGGAAGAATGAGGTGGTCTCGTTTGATTACCTCTGGACGCTTTTCGAGCCCGATACGGAGGCGTATGCGCGGGTTGACGACCAGGATCGGTTGTTTCTGATCAAGAATGCGCGATATGAGCCGCGGTCTGATGGGAGTGTCGTGTTTACGCTGAAATCTCAGTTTGTTGACACAGATGGCTTGAGATTCGGGCTTGCTTCAAAGGTGTTTGAGGTTCACATGTTTGATGATTTGTTGCCGATCCAGGAGCTGTCCATCTATCCCAGTAATCTGCACCCGGGGATGAAGAAGATCCGGGAACAGCTTGAAGCAAGAGGGAAGCTGTTTGAGGGCTACAAGGGATTCCATTACAAGGGCTATTCCGGAACGTTCGAATTTGGACACGGCGACTTCAAAGGTGTGGAGAGGCGTCAGGTAAGTAGACCTCAGTTCAACCACCTCTGAGATAACCATGGTCTGACCAGAGCCAAGATTGAGCATGGCCGCATCATCATCGACGGCGAGTCCTACTGTCGTTACGAATACCAGGTCGCTCCTCGCTTGAAAAAATTGAGGGACCCCAAGGCTGACAAGGAGAAGTTGGGTGCTCTCAAGGGTCGGATGAAAGGCCGGCGGGGGAGTTACGGCTTGCCGTACAGCCCGCCGCGTCGAGGCAGAATGCGATATGTCGAATCTGCAACAGCGGGCCTGGCGAATGAGGCAGACAAGGAGTTGACTGCGAACCAGCGCGAACTTGCTTCGCCTATGGTGCGGGGCTTTGACTTGACGTCGAAGAAATGGGGTATTTTCCACCCTCGGTATGAGAGGTCATGGCTAATACTAGCATAGGGCTCTTCTTCATCGACTCCGTGACAGAGGTGGAGTGGAACGAGGGGGCTTTCGACCAGCTTGTCTTGCCGCACGACTACAAGACTATCGTACGCGCCTTCGTCGAGGCACAGATGTCTTCAGCCAGTGCCTTTGACGATATGATTCGTGGCAAAGGTGAGTGCCCGCCCTTCACTAACCACATGTATGCAGTTTTCATACCGCTAACTGAACCAGGCCAGGGAATCATCATGCTTCTCAGCGGAGAGCCGGGAGTGGGAAAGACCCTCACGGCAGAGTCAAGTATGTGCAGCTACTCTCCGTTCCCACAGGCCAATACTGACAAATAGCATAGTGGCCGAGGCGATGAAGAAGCCTCTTTACGCCATGAGCGCTGGCGAACTCGGAATAACCGCCGATGATGTCGAAGACTCCCTCCGGCGCGTGCTTGAGATGTGCGCCAAGTGGCAAGCCGTGCTGCTCCTCGACGAATGCGACATCTTCCTCGAGAAGAGACGAGCTTCTGACCTCCAGCGCAATCAGATTGTCTCAGGTGAGTATCTACCTGGATTTCTGCACGATCACCGATAGTCCCGTCTATCTAACCCCCGAGACTAGTTTTCCTCAGACTCTTGGAATACTACAAAGGCGTCATGCTCCTGACCACCAACCGCGTGGAAGCTTTCGACCCGGCGTTTGAGTCCCGCATACATCTGACCATCAACTACCCTGCGCTCGACTTTGACTCACGGCTGCACGTTTGGAAGGTCTTCATTGACCGCCGCAAGCTCGACGCGACCGGGGCGCTGGAACCCCGGCAATTCCGTCTCGAGGAGGAAGACTTCAAGGCGCTGGCAAAGCTTGACCTGAACGGTCGCGAGATCAAGAACGTGGTCAAGACTGCGTCACTGCTTGCGGTGCGCGACGGAGCGCCGTTGGGAATGACGCATGTGAGAGCCGTACTGAGGGTCAGACGAGGGAAGCCGGCGGCTATGGGAAGTGTTGACACTGGCTTAGTAGATGAGGTCTAAGACGAGAAGCCATGATGACAAAAGCTGGGCTCAAAATAGTACTAGATCGCTGTTGTTGGAGGAGATCAAGAAGGCCCTGCGGCATCAATGATGGTGAAGTGGTCACATTTTCAAATGAGTCTGATTTATAGCTTGGCAAGTATGTCCTTATTCCAAAGTTGAGTCAATGGACCATTTCTTCCATACACTGGGTCCTCTTCTGGCATCTCAACGCTCTTGATGACGGTTTTGAACTCTCCTGCCGGCTTTTTGCCCATCTCGTTTCGCCACTTGGGGCAATCCTGCACACAGATGGTTGGCACACATTCAGGGAGACGAGCGTGACAAGCTTTTCAAATAGAGAGAGACCTACTTGAGGATAGACTCCGATGTACCGGTAGTCAGCGGAGCTTGATAGCGAGGAATGCGCTGTTCCGGCTGGAAGAACGATGACATCGCCGGTTTGCACGTCCACTTCGATCCCCCGACCGGTGGAGATCTTCCCAAGCAGCATTTTGGAATGTCCCTGAAATATTCCTTCATTGACACAGAGATATTAGAACAACGGACCGACGAAACAACGAGCTTTGTACTGACCATAGCATTCGTGGCTATTCGGATGAAAATGGCGGATGCCAATGTGTCCCCATGTGCCCTATTCTGATGAGACACTGACGACAATCATCAACAGAATGTTTCGTACTCTCTTTTCCCATCTGTTCCTCGTCAAGAAATCCGTCACTGAAGCCTCGTCTCTGGGTTCTGGGAGGACATTGCGATAGTGAAGCACCGGAAGACGGCTGTTAGGGGCATCCTCGTTGGGACTTAGGAAGTAGCACTGAACTGCCATTGTTTCAGACGGTGTCAACAAGACCAAACACGAGGAATCTATCGGCTGCGAGTCCTTGCCGTTGGATATCGTCAACCGAAGAAGCCATCTAGACAGCTCTGACTGCGGGGGCAAGATAAGGTTGCCTCTTATCAGCGTCAAAGGTGGTCTGGCCGGGATGTTCAGGCTAGAATTGCCGCTTTAGGGAATCAGCGCTATCATGAGAGGCGGGGTATGCATGCCGTGAGGCGGGGAGTCCGGACCGTCCCCGCAGGATGTCAACTCCGGCCTGGCCGTCCCCACTTTACTCCGCGCGAGGTCTCTCTCACCAGAGGGGCATTGCCTCTGCTAGAAGACGGTTAGTGCTTGGCATATCTGGGGTACAGGTAGAGGAGGTATTGTTCGTTAACGCCGAAAGGCCGGATGAACATGAACACAAGTGGTTAGAATGAAGTTTAGGGGATGACTATATGATCTCTCGGGTGACTAGCATAGGTAGTTGGTTGGAGTTGATGATACCCACTTGGCAGTGAAGGGCAACCCACCAGATCCAGCCACTCGATATTCTACGAAGTGTTTAGAAAGCATCATGGACACACACACACATCGCAAGAGCGTTGACGATGAGCCCGTGGAAAAGGTGGATGATCTCGGAAAGCCGATCGCACCCATTCCAAGCAACGGCCGTGGCACAACAGTCGAGTACACATCCAGCACTACACATGCACTCAGTGAAGTGGAAATAAACCTCAGGGTGATTGACGAAGCTGTCGAGGCCATTGGATTCGGACGGTTCCAATGGCAGCTGGCGCTTTCTTGCGGCTTTGGCTTCCTTGCGGATCAGGTCGGTACTCCAGCATCCATCAAAGGCATGTACTAACACGGACATGGATGCAGATGCTCCTTGTATCAATCTCTCTCGTCGGACCCCTGCTGATACCCGAGTTCGCGCCGAAACGCTCCACTTTGCTCCCAGCGTCCAACTACGCCGGCTTGTTCATCGGCGCGGTTTTAATGGGCCTGCTTGCGGATAATATTGGGAGGAGGATAGTGTGGCAGCTGTCGATATTTGGCATCTCCGTTGCTACTATGCTTGCTGCTTCGTCTCCTAACTGGGCGGCTATTAACGTATGGGTTGCTGTCTGTGGCTTCTTCGGAGGCGGAAACCGTAAGTCTCTCTACTGGGGAGTAGGAAATGACTGATGCTGACAACACTGATGCTCCCCACAGTCGCGATTGATCTCACCATTCTTGCTGAGAACATCCCTCAGCGATGGTCCTTTATGCTTGCCGGACTTGCGTGTGTTTGGGGACTAGGGAATACTATCACCGGCATCTTTGGTGAGACTCGCTGATCATCCCGACATAGGGTCAAATTGGCACAAAAGCTAAATCATAGTCTAGGATGGGCCTTCGTCGTACCCTTCAGCTGCCCGCAGGATGCAACACCAGACACATGTCCCAAGTCTGCAAACATGGGATGGCGGTATCTGTACATCCTCCTGGGTGGGTTATGCCTCGTAATGTCAATTGTTCGGACTCTAGTGCTTCGGACGCACGAATCTCCTAGGTGGCTAGTGACTTGCGGCCGCATTGACGAGGGCGTGGATGTCATCAATCGTATCAGCGCGATGAACAATTCGACCTACACAATTTCCGCCGACCAGTTCATTAGAACTGGGTCCACAGAAGAAGTGAAGACGATGTCATTTGGCGAAAACATCCACCGCGCGGGCAGGTTGTTTAAGGGGAGGACGCAAATTAGGTTGATGATCTGTCTGACGATGCTATGGATGTTGGTCGGCATCGCGTAAGTCGTTTTGATATAATCTCAAGCCAACTCGAGAATGGTGCATGGCTAAGTTATCATTTTCAGGTACCCCCTTTTCACAATTTTTCTTCCATACTATCTGCGCGCGCACGGCGCGGACCTCGGCGACTCAAGCAACTACACCACATACCGAGACTGGACAATCTCGTCAGTCGTTGGCATATTCGGGCCTATTCTGAGCACTTGGATGGTATCAAACAAGTGGCTCCGAAGTCGCAAATCACTCGTGTTTACCGGTGCTGCATGTGCTGCATTCGCAGGTGCCTTCACCTCGGTAAAGAACCCTGCTGAGAATCTAGCGTTCTCCTCCATGGTAAACTTCTGGCTGAATGCCATGTACGCTATTATTTACGCGTAAGTGTTCAATTTCCCTGTGTGGAGCATGGTATACTGAATTATATACCTAAGGTACACCCCGCAAGCCCTCAACGTGGAGAACCGTGGCCTGGGCAATGGGTTGCTTATGGCCGTTGGGCGTTTTGCGTCACTCATTGCTCCTTTCATTGCCACATACTCTGATGTCACTACTTCGGCTCCAATATGGGTTGCGTGCGCTTGCTTTGCGGCCATTGGGTTGATTGGCCTGGTTTTGCCGGTTGACACAGTTCCCTTCTGAAGCCCGTTTAGCATGCAGGAACTCGTTGCTTGTGTAACTCTTGTGACTATGTTTCGCGACGCAAATATCTGAGACCAAGACATGACTTTCATATGAAGATGAAAAAGGCAATTCCTATGGAGTTTTGCTAACCGGGCAGTGTCAGTTGGCTATCCGGGCAGGGTTTAACGTGTATTACCCCTTATTTTAAAGCATTTCAATTTCTAATCCTTACTATTATTGTTACTATTATTATTACTATTATTGTTACTATTATTATTACTATTATTATTACTATTATTATTACTATTATTATTACTATTATTATTACTATTCTCGTCGCTATTATCGTTACTATCGCTATCGTTGTAGTCTATTATTATCGTCTATCGTCGTCGTCTATCATTAGATCGAAGTATATATGTACTACGATTAAATTTATAGAGGGTACTGCCCAGATAGCCAATTAGCATTGCCCGGCTAGCAAACCTCTTCCTATGTTTGTTCACTATCTTCGGCGTCGTCATGCACTGAAGATGGCAAGACCTTACGATATCTGATGAAAGATTAGGAACCCAAACTGAATTTAATTATCCACTATCTGAAGAGTTGAAATGGACCGGTTGGTGAAGGCTGAGGACATGACGAGTATTCAGCACCGTCATCACGCAGCCCACCATGCTTCGCCTCAAATAGGTTCGTGATATGCCTGTTGCCCAAAGCAGCCGCCACATCTAATGGTGTTCTCTGTTGTTTATCCTCTGCTGAAGTATCCAATCCCTTGCCAATGAGATACTGGAATCTCCTTTCTTGGATGTGCGATTTGTTTCTCTCAGCAGCCACGATATGCAGCAGCGTCTCCTTTGCATGATTCACCACGCCGAAATCCACCCCCTTCTTCTCCAAAAGATCAAAAACAGGATTCTCGAGTGCTTCGAAATTTTCTTTTCGCCCAACTGGATTCCCAAAAAGGCCAGGTTTGCTCTCAAGTACGGGCCGGGGTGAGAACAGGGAGGGCCCAGTCTGAGAGACCAGGTGGTTCCCGACATTCGTCTTGGCTTCTTGAGTCGTGGCCCATGATGAGAAACGATCTATGTGACCAGACCGGAAGAATGAGAACACAGGTGTCTCCCCAATGCTATTGGGAAGATTTATGTCAACGCCCAAGGCCAAAAGCCGGTCCAAGAGTTGACGTCTGGGGCCGACGACGACTCCATCCTCTGCGACGTTGAAGACTCCGCCTAAAAGGAGATGGAACACCGTGTTCCCATCCTTTGCGGAAGTATATGGATCGCTGCCGGCATCAATTAACGCATCCACGACATCTGTATTATCTTTGAGACGCGATACAGCAAGGTACAGTGCAGTTTGACCACGGTTATCTCGGATGGATGGGTCTGCACCTGCATCAAGCAGCAGTCTGACCTCGCTCGATGACGTTGCTAGATGGAGAGGGGCGGTGCCATCTTCAGATACTTGATTGACAAGCTCTGGAGCCTGCGAAAGAAAATATCTCACCGCCTCCAGTGTCTTTCCCTCAGCAGGGAAGAGTTTGTGGAGGACATTGCAACCTTTGTTATCATAAGCCCGAATATCAGCGCCCCTTTTGACCAGGATTTGGACAGGAGGAAGCTCAGCGATGTTCTCCGTGCTGTAGTTGACGAATTTACCAGTGATGGGGTCATCCCACTGACATGCAGACAGGAGCAATGTCTCTCCAGAGTCATCGCGTGTATCCACATGCTCGAGAGGGAGCTCGTGAGAGATCCACGAGAAGCAACCTAGGCTGAGAACGGCGTGAGCAACTGTTGTACCCTCATATCGTGTGCATAAATCCGCTCCATGATGAATCAGAATTCTAGCAATCCTGTCGTATGCGGAGATACCCTCGGCGTCGAGACCAGAACTACATTGCTTCCATGCTGCATGATGCAAGAGGTGCATAGCAAAGGGTGGGAGTCCATGTAGGTTGGCCGGGCGACCACGGTGACCGACCTGAAATGGATTCAATTTCCAAGACGGCGTTGAGAAGACTGATTGCATCCACATAGCATGCTCTGTCTTGGGCTTGCTTAGGTCTTTGGTTTCCCGTTCATTAACATCCGCACCACTTGACAGAAGAAGCTCAAGACCATCGGCGTCTCTGTCATCAATGGCCGCTGTGAGCGCAGAGTATGTGACGATGGCGCCATGGTCCAGAAGGAGTTTTGTGAGACCCGTATCAACTCTTGCTCGAGCTAGACAGGACTTGCCTTTGTCATCGACAGAGTTGACATCTGCGCCGAGCTCAATCAGTGTTTCAACAGCCTTTCTCTGGAATATGATTGTCCCGGCGTGACTGAGGGCATAGTTTAGCGGTGTTCGGCCTTCTCCATCGCGAATTTCTATGTTGGCTCCTTTATTGATAAGGTAAGGCAGAGCTTGACTGATTTGCCACCAGAAATCGCCTTTCACGACAGTGTGAAGAGCAGATTGGCTTGCAAGATGCCATCCGGGTTTTGGTCGACTGAGCGAGTTAAGATTAACGCCGACGGACTCAACCAGTACGCGCAAAACATCCATATTCGGCTGTTCACGCGAGCAAGCCGTGATGAGAAGCGGGTGAATCATATATCCGCTACCCTTCTCATGTTCCACGCACCACGCGGGATCCTCCAACTTGGAGGTGATTTCCGAAGTCAAAAGATCGGCAAGGTTTGAAGCGTCGCCGCGAGAGATTAAATCGTGTACAATACTTCTTTTGTCGTTGCTGAGCTCAAGACAGTCGATCTTTTTCCGCTCCTGGGCTGCGAGTCCCGGGAACCTAAGATCCCAGAGCTTGTGTGAATGAACATCGTGGGGGTTTGGAAGACGACCATAAATACGTGGCCTCTCTGTTGAAGCGCCATAACAGAGCTGCACTATCCCCGCAACAAATCTGGCTGTTTCGACTTCCTCAGACATGAAATTTTGTTGAAGTTGAAGTGACTCTCGAGCATGCAGGAGGCATTCAACGGTGAACTCCTTCTTGATGTGCGCAGCAGCCGTGATTGTCTTGTCAATCGTTTCAGCTTTGCAGTCTGCAGTGCGGATGAGGAGCTCTAAAATTTCAAAAAGATGCTCCGATGAGGACTGAGAATGGGAATGAGATTGAGGCAGTCCCTGTCCAAAGACTTTAACATATCCGTGGTCCGGCTTATCGAACTTATTCATGGAACCAATCATGTACGAGGGTCCGCATGGTGGTGCCACCTCAATATGGGCACAGCCATCCCAAGCAGAACCCTCGAATGTGGTCGTCTCGATTTCTGCCCCTGCTTCTAATAGAAGCCTCACAGTCTCGATTGTACCGGAAGCGCAGGCATAGTACAATGGTGTCCTGCCTCGAGTATTCCTCATGTTTACCATCGAGCTAAGGCAAACGCTATCGAGAGCTTCGATCAGTATCCCCACGATATTCGTCTTTCTGTTGAGGGTTGCAAGGTGCAGGGCAGTCAGACCATCATTCGTAGTCTTCCATGGGTCCGCACCTGCTTGCAGCAGCCTCATGGTGTGGTATGGAGAGAACGTGGACGCCAAATGAAGAGCTGTAACTCCTTCGTTGTCTGAAGCGTTGACTTTATTCTGGAGCTGGAGGACTCTGTCAAAGGCGGTGATGCTTCCAATTGGTTGGGTTTTCATGGGGTTGGAAGCTGAGGTCTTGAAACATTCAGGCATCCAGCTACTGGCAACGTGAAGGGGTGTCCGGCCGGCGTTGTTCGGTTGATCTATACTGAGTCCCAGATCGAGAATCTCCTGGAAGATTCCGGTCTTGCTACTGGCCTTTTTGTGTAGAGTCTGGCAATAACGTGGCAAAACGACGTGCCAAAGTGTGTTACCGTTGAAGTCAGCTTGATGTGGGTTGATACCTTTTTCGATCAAGTATCTGAAACATTGGATATCAAATCCACCGTGAGAGTGAGATAAATAGTTGTGAAGCAAAGACTGTCCTTTTGCGTTGATCGTGTCCAGAACCGCACCTACGGAAATCATCTTTTCGCAGATGTCCCTCAAACCGCGGACACTCGAGAGGGCCGCCTTTGCAATTGTGTTGTACAAAGGTGTTTGGCCTTCTTTGTCCCTCAAGTCTATCCGAGCACCGGCTCGGACAAATCGAGAAAGGAACTCCTCTTCAATTCCCTCACGATCCAAGGAGACTCCTCTCCCCCAAAAGCCATTGCGTCTATATCCAAAATGGTGCAGGGCTGTTTCTCCCTTTTTGTTTCGCATGTTGATATCGGCGCCAGAAGCCACCAGACCCTCAATCAAGCGCATAATCTTTTCCTTATCAGCTTTGATTCCCACAAGATAGTGAAAAATTCCATCCCCTTCTCCGTTGGTAGCCAGCATGTCGACGCCGAAGTCGACCAGTTGCATGGCTTTGTCAAGTTCGCCGTCGCTCAATGACTCCAGGAGAGGAGTATGGCCAGCATATGTCTTCAGTGTTGTGTCTGCTTTGGCATCCTCTAGAAGCATCTGTATGATCTCTCGGTCATTTGAGAGATGTAGCAGTGTCTCTCCATGCCTCGTAATTGCGTTTGGATTTGCACCAGCTTCGAGAAGTATACGTACAGTTGAGGAATCGCGGGCGCAATGCAGTGGAGTCTCGAGGTCAGAGTTCGTCTGGTTCACATTGGCTCCTGCCAGAAGCAACGCATCAAAGCACTCCGCCGTCACCTTGGGACCAGGATCAGCATGAATGCCGTATACTCTCCGTGAGGCCAGCGCGTGTAGTGCAGATTCACCCACACCCGGCGGTCGGGCTTCGGAACCAGGCGTAGATCGCAACACATTCGGGTCAGCGCCTGCTGCAAGGAGCCATTTGATGGACTCCAGATCGCGTTTCTCACAAGCGTCGTGAAGTAAGGTACCGACGAACGAGCCAGTTATCTTTGCGTTTATATCCACCAGAGAACTCTGCAGGATCTTGTCTGCGACCACAAACAATCTTGACTGGACTGCGCGCTGAAATGCGTCGGTTGCCTTGCTAGGCGTGTCGAAGTATGATGAAAGGGCGATTGCAACATCCTCATGGCCGCTCATGCATGCCAAGTCGAAAGCTAATGAACCCTTCTGTTCGAAAAGTCCAAATGACCTGTCGCTCACTTTGGTGTGTGCTATATCCCGCACGAAAGGATCTGCCCCGGCATGAAGAAGCCTAGTAACGATGTTCAGGTAGTTGTGTCGGGATGCATGATGGAGGGCAGTGTATCCCTCATCATCGAACGTGTTCATGTCCTTGCCATGTTGTAGGAGCAAATCAACAATCCGGTCATGGCCCAGCCGTGTGGCACGTGGCAACGCCCAGGAACGTATCTCAGCATTATCGATGTCATTTGTTTCCTCAGGTCTTTCCAGCAGCATTCGGGTGAAGTCTACAAGACCGAGATCAATAGCTGTCAGGAGAGGCGTTGCGTCGACATAATTCCTCCTTTCCTGAGCTAGAGCGACCCACTTCAACAGATTCTCTCCATGGAGAAGTCTATTTAGAAAGTGCCTGATCTCTGTTTGGTCGAAACCTGCCGACTCTGCCTTTTTGACATGATTATACCAGTTCAGTGCGGCGTACTTCAGGAATGGTGCGGCCAACCATCGTTTCTTGTGGTTCACAACTGCAGGGCACTCGTGAGCCGGCCTAAACGGGAGCTTCCTGGGTTGAAGCTGGACCTCATCCAAACACCTCGAGAGGAGGTAGGAGAGACATTGAGCGGCGAGAAGATTGTGAGTAGCTCCATACTCGAGAATGGGAAAATCCCTTGTCTTGGGATTCGTGGTTGACCCTGACAAAAACTCCGTCAACGAGTGATGAACGACGCATATCGTCTCGTTCGGGAGAATCTCCAAAAGCGGCCCGCATGCAGCACGAACAAGTTCCTTGGTGTCTTTGAGATTCAGCGATGTTTTGGAACCTTGCGTAGTATTGATGATCTCTGCGATTTCGAGCAATCTGAGAGGTCTCCTAGCATGAGTAACCCATTGTATGACCAGTATCTGAATATCCTGGGGCACGCCGGATCTTTTAGCATGCTTTTGAAGAATATCACTGTACATGATATCGAGATTGGAGGGCAGGTTCTGTAGAACCTGTCGAATGCTGGCTTCAGGGCGAAGCAAGGAGTCCATCGCTAGCTTGGCGTATAGAAAAAGACCCTTGGCATTTCCTGGAACTGCTCTTTGGATAACAACGTGGTATTCCTCTGGGATCGATGATGTAGACAGCCGGTCTTGGACATAGGCAGCGATATCTCTATCAACCTTGTCCTCTTCAAGTCTAATGCTGACGAACTTTGCGTTTCGTAGCGGCTTCTCAATGATGGCTATAGGTCGGCTGGTCATGACGACTTTCAACTTGGAATGGCTCGATTGACCGAGTTCAGCCAAGGTCTTCAAGAAGGACTGCGTGTGTTCCGTTTGGTCCATTTCATCCAGTGCATCCACTACACAATAGGCCTTTGGAAGCTGAGCCAGCGCAATTCGTAGATAACTCCAGAAATCGTCAATTGAGGCGCTGTCCAGGGAGCGGTTCTCATCCAGAATTCGCTTCATTCGCAATTGAAGTGGCGGACTGAACTTGAGAACTTGTGCTAACCAGTCTCGAAGGGCAGCCACTGGTTCGTGATTGGATTCGATAGTCTGTCGGAAGAAAAAGTACAGCACTGGAACGTCCTCTTGAACTAGGCGATAAATCAGGGAAGCAGCGAAGACCGACTTTCCCGAGCCAGGTATGCCTGCGGGCCGCAAGGATCAGCTCACTCCAAGTTCTCTGATCAATTGTGGCTTGCTCACATACCTCGGACCCAGAGCAGGCCGTCATCATTGCCATCATGCCACGTGCGATAGCTGGGAGAGGACAAGAGCCAGTCGCCAGTGCCATCGAGATGAAAAGAGAGGTGTTTCTTGTATTCGCTGCTGTCATCGTCGTAGCCAGTTGGTTGTAGCCATTGTCGAATCCTTGTAAGGGTTTCTGGCATTTGAGGGAGGATGTTGTCTTCGTTGTAATCGCGCACATCATCATGAGCAAGGATGACTGGGTCGTCTTTGGCGAATAAACTACCCGACTTGTCTTCACGAGCAGGGGTCCCGAATAGACCGCCGAAGATACCTGACGACATGGTTCAGATCGGTCAGATCGTTCGGATATCCTAAATCAAAATTAATAGACTACGCTCTATAAGAGAAAGATGGATGGTGGTCGAGCATCTCCATGCACAATCTTTACTTTGCAGAGTTCTCCAAGCGGAGTCGGAATTAGGCAGCAGAGCGTGCGGCGCAGGCGCTCGCCCTCCAGCCGACCCAAAGTCCCACGTACAGGGTTTCTCGCCACGCTTGCCGCTTGTGGCAAGTTTCTGATTAACCAAGGGGTGTAGACTCAGAGCACCTCAGCCAAAGGGCATAAAATGGGACCTTTGACTTCCTGCGGTCCCTAATGATTGCTTGATTTAATGATATTAAGGTCTTTGATGATTGGGTATCCAAGCATAGAGCTAGAAACCGATTCCCCTCTCACTGGGCGAACATCTTTCGGGTCTTCATATTGTGTGAATTGATGGATCCTCTAGGGGATGCCAATAATCGAACGTTGGTGACGGAGAAGCCACGTCGACTGGCTACTAAGCCCAGTCTTGCGCAATTTTCTGGGCTCGGAGCATGGTGCCCTGGGGCGAGATGATGTGTTTGTGGACGCGCGTGACATGTGGTCTGGCAGAAGTCCTCGTTCTCGCATGCTGTGCTATTGCGGAAACCGTGGGCGACGCATTCTGATATTATTGGCGCCCTTTCTCTATGTCTTTAGAGATTTCGTGATTCTCAACGTGATCCAGAGCTTGATCCAGAGCTTGAATCGACCTTTTTACTTGGGGAGGGATGTATTAGGTAGTTTACAGTAATAAAGGTCTTATCTCTTACTATTTAAGTACCTAAGCTTAATCTACTGTAATTTACAAAAGGAGTGTTCAAGTATACTCAGATAAGCTGAGCATATTAAGAAGGAGAAAAGAACCACCTCCCATCCCCTCATAAAAAAGGACAAATTACTGGACAAGAGACGTATAAACCGCCTCGATCCCTAGCAATAGGCCGCATCGTAACCTGAATAAACAGCTGAAGCACTCGCAATAGGACATCTGTGCAAGGCTCAGGGAGGGCGCGATAGCGGGATGAGTCCTGAAGTCGCGTCTAATGTTTACAGAACGAGCTTTTCGTCGAGCTTGAATACGTCAACGCTGGGGATATCGTCGGCCGATGCGCCGGTCTTGATGAGCGAGACAAGTTCCTCGATGGCCTGGCCAGCCTCGGCAATGGCGGTGTAGTTGTACTGGGTGCCGTCGGCGAGGTACAGGACGTCCGGCTGGGCGCAACCTTCGGTCTCCTCGCCATCGCGGGCGTCCAGTGTCGCACCGCGGATCATCTTTTTGTTGTTAAAACCGTAGCCTGTCCCGCCAAAGGGGCCGTTGCCCAAGCAAACGTAGTCGCGGCCGCCGCTGTCCTGCTGCTCGCGAATGGAGCCGCAGTTGGGCCCGGCGTGGCCACGGCACTGGAGGTTCCAGTTGGCCGGGATGGCCCTGAACGAGCCGCTGGCGAAGTAGGTACCCGCGTTGACGCTGCAACAAGTGTTGGGATTCCAGTTCCGGCAGATGAACCCGCCGCCGCTGGTGCTACAGCCACCCGCAAACTCGAGGTGCAGGTCGACGGCCGAGGCGGCGGTTGCGAAGAGGCCTGAGACAAGGCTGACAATGGCAAAGAACTTCATTTTGCTTGGGAAAGATGGAGAAATTGATCTCGAGAGTGAAGCTGTACAGGTTGCTTGATGCCGGATTGGTCTTTTTGCTAGGAGGCCGAAGATATTGAGGTGGATAGAGATAGGGTCAAGAGCTTTCATAGACAGAGACAGGAGCGAGCCTTTTATACATTTCCGGGAGACTTCCATCATAGAGTCTTTGACGTCTTATCGTCACATCTGGTACTCTCGCCCAGTCTGGTCTGCTGCTACTCTCCTCTGCTGACTTCTCGTGTAATTCATGGTTCCCGAAGCTTCAGGGGTTGAAAGCGAGAGTGGACGTGCACCAGTCTCCTTTGAATGTGTAAAATGATGCATTATGTTGCAATACCATAAGCACGATGTTGCAATACCATAAGCATGACCTTGCAATGCGTTCCTTGGCTAAGGTCGCTGAGGCCGATTGCATTGATCGTCTCTCGGTGTAAGAAGACAACGTTAAGCTATCGTGGGCGCGGCCCTTGGCGCAGGATTATATTGCAGCTGACTCCTCGGACTCAGGCACCTCGGACTCAGGCACTCAGACCACACCACCATCTCAGTTGAGAATAGCTTATACTTTCCTCGGATCGCTTAAGTTGATTACATTCGAAGTCATTATCCTATGGAGTGCCAACTGACTATAGTACATCTGCGTGAGGGGTAGCAGCAACTCAGGGGCTAGCCAAGGCTTTTTTGACCAACCAAAAAGCCTAGTTTATTAGTAGCACCTAGGTGTATCTGGCCTAGTGCTGGATAAATGTACAAGAAGAGGGAGGGGACTTTAACCTCTCTTTGTTATTATTCTCCGCAATAGAGAGGTTCATAATTCAATCGAATTATTACTTTATACCAATAACAACTACTTTCGTCTTTAGCGAACAAACTTCTCGACTTTCCCTCACGAGCAGGGGTCTCGAAAAGACAGCTGAAAATACCTGATAAGATAATTCAGATGCTCCTGAATCAAACGTAAGTATTCAAACTCTAGAGCAAGCGGCGGTCGAGGATCTCTCTGCATAACCTTGACTTTGCAGAGTTCTCCAAGCGGAGTCAGATGGCACTTAGGCAGCAGAGCGTGCGGCGCAGGCGCTTGTACTCCAGTCGACCCAAAGACCCATTTGCAGGGTTTCTCGCAGCGGCTCGCTTACACCCGTTTACCCGTTGCCCGAAAACCCGCCTTTAAGCAAGGGATCGGCCACACCACTTTGTCGCCGGGCGCGCGCGGGGCGCTCGTAGCTAGATTAATCAAGCCACTTCGCGCACTTTCCAATTGCGGCAAGCTGCTAACCAGGGGGGTTGGCCTTAGAACAGCCAAAGGTCACATTCTGTGACCTTTGACCACCTGCGATTCATAATGACTGCATAAATTTACTCGTTGGACAGAGACAGAGAGTGTGTTGATGGAACAGGCATTGGCTCACCACAGTCAAGTCAAATTCCTCTCTATCTAGAAATTGAAAAGAGGCTTGTTAAGGCGTGATTAATCTACCTATCTCAGTAGCCACACGTTCTCTAGTAGACTCGAAGGAATTGAATCAACCCTGCTCCCAGTTTAGTAAGAAAAGATGGAAGTGGCGAGCTATGGTCTGAGTAAAAGACATGTTCTCTCCGATTGCTGCGAATTACATTTGTGGAATGCTGTAGATATTGTAGTCACGTATGCTTGGCCCAAATGAGTACAACTGTCTCCTTGACGATTGCGAGAAATTATTTTCCTCAATACTGCGGGGTTCCCAGACCTCGTTAGAACTTCCTTTCCCACAGTCTCTTCCGTCACAACTAGCGTCCATACTTACGCCCCATGCGAGGTTGAGCCATTTTGCGGACTTTATCGTGTGGAAATCATCAGGATGGACAAAGTCACATTTGGCATTGCCACACCGGAGAAAAGCAGTACATCGTTTACGGCGTACCATCATGTGATCGCGGGCTACGGGGTGAAGACAACGAGCGCCGGAAGCGCGAAGTGCCGATAGTGTTCCGGTCGGGCCGCACATCAGCTTCCAAGCGTGAACGTAGACTTTGAGGTCACACCAAATTGCAATAATTTGCTGAACCTCGCTTTCGGATTCTGATAGCCCATCCTGATACCAGTCGGTTTGTTCGAATTTCAAGAACATTTTGCTCACCCACTCATTTGACTTGCGCACAATGTTTCTCGCCACATCGCCTTTCGGTGTTTCGTTGTTTGTACCAATTCCCAATTCGCCGGGCCATCCGTTGCCTTCCCCCAAGATGAATCCACATACTCAAGTAGTCCTAAAAGCTCGTCATAATACCATAGAATTCATATTCAGAAGGACAGAAGAAGTATTCACGTGCGATGATCCTGATAAAAAGAAGAAACAAGACCACATAACGACCAACATCTTGTTTCAATCACGGCTTTGAACAACCAAGCTATCACCCTGGAGGAGCATGTCATTTTCCCTTCATTCGGCGATGACTACCCACTTTACAAGAACATATGGGAGATCTATCCTGACCAACAGGCAAGAGTATGGGACCTTAGCTCTTTACGTCTTTCCGATATGAAAGCCGGCGGGATTGCTTTCCAGATTCTATTCCATCTCCCCGGTGTGGCCACGAACCGGCCAGATTTGTGTCGAAGCGCAGATGATGAGATGGCAAAGGCCATTCGACAGACCCCTCAGCGCTTTGCCGGGTTTGCTGCTCTCCTAATGGGCGTTCCGGACGTTGCCGTCACGGAACTTCGACGTGCCGTCAACGAGTTGGGATTTGTCGGCGCGATGGTCGACAACCATCTGGAAGACATGACGCACTATGACGACAGCCGTTTCTGGCCCGTTTTCGGGGCCGCGGAAGAGCTCGGCGTCCCGATCTACCTTCATCCTTCACCTCCAACCCCGGAAATCTTCAAATCGCGTTATCGCGGTAATTACTCAACTATGGCGGAAATAGGTCTGGGGACGGCCTCGTGGGGCTGGCATGAAGACGTGGGCTTGCATATTCTGAAACTCTATCTTGCTGGGGTGTTTGAAAGTTTTCCCAAGCTCAAGATCATCACCAGCCACGTGGGAGAGCTTTTACCTATGATGCTTTCCCGAGTTGAGAGTATGCCAGCCTCCCAAGCTATGACTGAGAAGGGATCAAAGTCTATCAAGGATGTTTGGCAGGATAATATATGGATCACGACGAGCGGCATTTTCTGTGTCGACACATTCAAAATGCTCAAGCAGGTAACGGGGACTGAGCATATCCTGTTCAGTGTTGATTATCCGTTCGAATCCAGCAGTAGCGGCAAAAGGTTTCTCGCCGAACTTCTCACAACGAACACGTTGACAGAGGATGAGGTGGATATGATATCGCGAACGAATGCTATACGCCTCTTGGGTTTGTCGGAAGCAGCCGGTCTCGACCAGTCAGACTAGCCGTAGTAAGAGTAACTCGCTGCCTGATACTACATGGGAGCTTCACTGTGTATCACTAGTTTGGCTGAATGCCTCCTCAGTGTTCTCATTGTGTACATAAATTATGTGAACTAGTGTATTCATAGAGAAATCGATTTATTGCAGCCTGCATCAAACCCCCACAGCAATAGCTGGAACATAAGACTCTAAACCAGAACGCATCTCCTGCTCAGTAACGTCCGCTTCTTTCACATTGGACTTGGTCAGATCGGTCCCGTGGACCTCAGCCTGCCCCACAATATGCTGACACTGAGCTTCGGCGTCCACCACGTGAGACAAGACCCTCTTGGGCAAGGGATCAGCCTTACCCAGATAGAAGCTGAGGTCCGATGATCTTTCTGCAATGGTGGTCATTGTCTTTGAGTACTCCCTCTCCTCAATGCCCAAAGGATCCAACTCGGACTTCTCAATCCAGGAGAATCCATTGCCCCAGTACGCGTAGCGGTTGCCGTCAAAGCGCCACTCGTAATCTTCCCAACGGTCCTCTGCGAGAGACTGCATGTAATGAAGCGAGCTTCCACACCACAGAGCGCTCACCTTCCCGTTGACATCTTTCTTAACTGTGCGGGTCCAATTCGATTAGCTTTATGCTTCTGCTGACTTTATCCTCGTGGGGTTAACTCACACCAACTTCGACACGTTCCTGTCCAGACTGCCTGACGCATGAACTCTTGCGTGTGATTGTCAAAGTCTGTTTGAGCCTCGATGCGTACATCAAAGGACTTGATACGTTGTCGGATCATCTTGGTGAGAATGCGAACGAAGTAGTCGCCAGTTGCTTCAATTGGGCCTATACCGAATTCCTCAGCGTCGTTAAAAGATTCCAAGTGTCCTCACTTACCCATGAGACTGCCATTTGAGATGGGCGTGTTGGGGCCCAAGAATATCATGTAGTTGGGAAATCCAGAAACGCCCGTTCCGCAGTAAGAGGTCGGGTTCTCGGCCCAGACATCCTGCAAGTTGTTGCCATCTCTACCAATGATTGGGAAGCGCGGCCTGAAGGTTGTGTTAAAGCCGGTGGCAGCGATAAGAACATCCACAGGATACTCGACTCCGCCTGCGACTATGCCAGTAGAAGTGATCTTCTCAATGCCCTCGAAAACGGGCTCAACATTTGGTTGTTGGAGAGTCAGGAGGTACTGCTCTCCAGGATTAATCCTTCGACAGCCCGCCTCAAACTTGGGAATCAGCCGCTCTTGAAGAGCCACATCGCGAATAAGAGATCTCATGCGGCTTTCAAATCGTTCCCGGAGGTCCCTCTGCTGCGGACTTGCTTTGAAGAAGGCATCGAACATGCCATTGAATTGCGCCTCCAAACGCTTCCGGTCTTCAAGATAGTCGCTGTCGTTTTCTCTGAATCTGGTCTTTTCCCCTTCATCATAAGAATAACTTGGCCGATCGGCCTCTGGGAGAGCAACGGGAGGTGAGATCCAGGACGGTGTGCGGATGAAGGCGGTGACTTTCGTCGCCGTCGGCTGTATCTGAGGTAGGAGCTGAACGGCACTGGCCCCCGCACCGATGACGCCAATTCTCTTACCCCTGAGATCTACTGATGCGTCCCAATCGGCGGTGTGAAGAATGGGGCCAGTGAAGGTGTCGATGCCGGTGATGTTCGGCATTTGAAGATTGTTGAGGATACCGCCGGCGTTGAATAGGACCTCCGCCTCATAGGTGGATCCATTCTCGACCTCGACAGTCCATATGCTGCTGGCTTCTGACCACTGAGCGTTGGTGACCTTGGTGTTGAACTTGATGAACCTTTTCAGGTCAAAATGCTTTGCAACTCCGTCGAGGTAAGCTTTGATCTCTTGAGACGATGCGTAACTAGACCAGCATTTCAGCATCATCATACCCATTGTTGGTTGAATTCAGCTTACAATTTTGACCAGTCGGGATTAGGGGCAAAGCTGTACTGATAGCAATGGCTAGGAACGTCACACGCGCATCCTTATTTATGAAAATTCAGACGAAGAACTCTAGAGATGGATGAATAATAGCTTACCCGGATACCTATTTTCGAACCAAGTCCCCCCTAGTTCTGGGGACTTTTCCAGGATGTGAAAATCAACGTATTCTCCAAGGTACTTTTGTAACTTGTAGGCTAACGTCCCGCAATGTTAGTCTACCGGAAGGACTTTGATGAAGAATGCATTACCCATCAAAATCCCTGATACTCTATGCAGATGGTGTCAGTTACAACGTGACATAACCCCAGCATGATTCAGAACTTACCCCGCGCCAATGATCACGGCGCGAATCCGCCGATACGGGACTTTTCTGCACTCTTGCGAGAGACCATGGGACAAGCCTCCGTGCGGGTTGTTTCCGTTCATGATGTCTAGTTGTTTGGCTTCCGTATGTATCTTACTGCGGCAGAGAAGGTTACGTTCTTGTAAGATGAAGCTTTAGATTTGGTCTGCTCTATGGCCATCTGATTAACGAGGTCTTGGCTCGGTGATCTATCGACTATCATTCACGTGCATGGCATTCCCAACTTTGTTCTCTTATCTTGTTCTTGATTGCAGCCCTCCGAGTGGGCAGGACTTATCTCCCGTAAGTGGGGACGGGGCGGCTCAGGCCGGAGGCGGACCGGGTGGATCCCGGCCGTTCGATAAGCCCTGACCAACCGGACCTCCTCGCACCATCGCCGATATCGATGCTTTGACGCCATCGGCGCATAGCAGCTTCAAGATGTTTAAGTCTTCTCATATGATAAGCTTATTATTCTGGGGGTTGACTGGATCGTTTTCAACGGAGCGCCATCAGTACCAAGAGGGTCACGTGTTCCTAGCTGCTTTTGGGAAGTCATTCGACTTGTCTTAGGGTAGGCGGTCAACATGCACCGCGAAATCTATGTCTATATAAAGGCGAATTTACAGCTTAGACTGCTCAACGGGAGACAACTTCCGCAAAGGCGGACCGCCTCGACTGCCGTCTCCCAACTTCAACTCGTCCTGACCTTCAGACGCGCGCAACCTCCACTTGTGTCGTAGCTCTTGTGGTGCCTTCTCCTCAAAGCAGTCCGAAATGTACTTGCCCAAGATAGGCAAGAACTTGAAAGCGCTGAGTGTGACATCTGGTTAGCCATTGTCGTTGATTGCATGGTGTGGGATTACTTACTGTCCTGCTCCCCCGGTGGCGAAGAAGACTCCTTCAATAGACGGGTGATAATCCATGATGAAATCTCCCTCGGGGGTGTCGGAGTACCAGCACAAGCGCCGGTTGACCCACGGTCGCGACGCAAACTCGGGTAGTAGCTGCTTTACACCTTCCCTCAGACCTTCATCCGCGTCATCGGGGAGGTATCCCGTTGCCGCGTTACTTCCGTCCCTCTTCGGCGTAGAGATGACCCTTTGAGAACCGTCATCGCCAACGGAAACCTCGGTGGCATACCCATATCCGTGGCGCGCTAGCTTCAGGATGGGGTTCTTTCCCTTCGTGGGCGGGAAGATGAAAACGCCAGACTCAAAGTTGATCATGACAGGCATATCCTTCAACCTCTCGGCCTCTTCCTCCGTAAGCTGGATGAACCCAACAGGCTGTCCAGACGCAGAGCTGGCATGAGAAATAGGAATAATCCGGTTCGTCCACGCTCCCGTCGCCAAGATAACCTTCTCCCCGAGAACCGGCGGGCCCTCGAGAACATTAACCCCAACAACCCTCCCCTCCTCAAACTTGAGCGACTTCACAGTCCCCCGCGCTCCCGCGACAAACTGCACTCCAAGCTGGCTACACTCCCCCGCCAACTGCGCAATAGCCCCCTTCGCATCAGCCCACCCGCCGCGACGGTTGATACACGCCTGTAGCCCCTTAAAGTCCGCCTTCGCACTCGGATAGTCTTTCAACACGTCGTTCGCGTCCGCATAGTTGGTCAGCTCCACGCCGCTCTTTGCCGCAACCTCGCGCGACGCGTCCAGCCACCCGTTGCCCTTGCGGTCCGCGAGCATCACGAAGCCGGACTCGTGGTAGTGGTCCGAGTACTGCGCGTTCCAGCCCGCGTACGCCTCGCGCGCCATCTGGGAGTAGACGGGGTCGGCGTAGTCGACGCGGATGATGCGCGAGATGTCGACGCTGCTGCCGTCGGGGACGGGGGGCAGGAAGCGGTCGAGGACGGTGATGTGGAGGTAGCCGCGCTTTCGGAGCTCGAGGGCCGTGGAGAGGCCGAAGACGCCGGCGCCGACGATGACGATGGGCGCGTCTTTGGGAGTTCGTTTGGAAGGCATTTTGGCTGGGTGTTGGCAGACGTCTGGCGGTTCAGCGATGCGACGGAACGTGAGAGACGGACTTGAGGGAGAGGCGCAGAGACAGCAATACGTCGCTGATATTGATTCAGTTGAGGTCCGTGAGTGGGCGGTGAACGTCACACATCAGCTGGTCTGCCCCGTCATGGAAATCACGAGAATTGCAAGATAGATTGACATGTCCACCGACGTCGGGGTCGTGTTACTCCATTGTCCAATCGGTTTCTCTTCGATATCGAGGACGGACTGTCGCTGGCGTCAAAGTGGGTACGGAACACGGTCCGTACCCACTTACGGGGACCTGCGGACGGGCCACCCCTCCCGGCAGGGATCCGGCATACATGCCGAGACCACTTTGAGCTTCTTATCTCGAGGCCAGTTAGCTTGCAGGACTGGTATATAGCGAGATTCGCATGAAGATGTCGTTTGGAATAGTTTGCTAGCTTGGTCCATAGAAACATACCCAGATCTCATCGCGTAATCGGCTCCATTCATTGCTCAATCCTTGCCCTCCTCGTGAACTTTCGTCTAAGTCTTTGGCAGAAACCAACGACACCAAGATGAACTGGCTCGGTCTAGGAAAGTCCACCGACACCCCCTCCTCAACTCCCTCAGAACCCCAGTCCGTCCGGGCCCTCCCCGCGTCATGGTACCGCTCACCGGGCATGTACGAGCTGGAGCGCCGCGCCATCTTCTCGAAGCGGTGGCTCCTCGTCTCGCACAAGGCGCGCTTTGTCGAAGCCGGTGACTTTGTGCAGATCACAGAGGCGGGGTTCAACTTCTTCCTCGTCAAGGACCGCAAGGGCGAGATCCGGGGACATCATAACGTCTGTCGGCACCGTGCGTATCCGCTTGTGGAGACGGACAGCGGGCATATGAGTGTGCTTGCGTGCAAGTATCATGGTAAGTACGGCCTGTTGAACACAGAGTCTGATGAATGTGCTAATACCAGATGATTCTCAGCTTGGTCGTACGGATTTGATGGGAAGCTGGCCAAGGCGCCAAAGTACCAGGAGCTCCCGTCCTTCGATAAAACGCAGAACAGTCTGTTCAAGGTCCACGTCCACGTAGACCAGCTTGGCTTCGTCTGGGTTAACCTGGATGCGTCGGAGAAGCCTGGTGTCTCGTGGGAAGAGTTCTTTACGCAGGTTGACGAACAGCCGCGGCTGCAGAACTTCAAGATGGATGACTACGTGTTTGACCATGCGTGGGAGATGCTTGGTGATTACAACTGGAAGACTTTGGCCGATAATTACAACGAGGTATGTGTGTTTCTGCACAACGACACCATAGACCAGTCTGACCAGAATCGTGTAGTGCTACCACTGTCCAACAGGGCACCCCGCAGTTGCCAGCACCACAGACCTGACGAAGTACTGGGTCGAAACGAGGGGCAACTGGATCCAGCACTGGAACGTGGACAAGCCGGATGTCCAGGGCCTGGGCATCTACAGTACATTCTACTACCCCAACGCGTCGATGACTGTCACGTAAGCTCCCTTATCCCCAACCACTTACGATAGACCACTAACACTGTCATTTTCGTACATCAGACCAGATTTCATGTACATCATGCGCTGCGTCCCCGTCTCCGCCACCCAGACAAAGATGGAGTACGAGGTATATCGCAACAAGAACTCGACGGAGGAAGAGTTTACCAGCATCTCCGAGTTCTTTAAGCAGGTTCTCCGAGAGGACAAGGATCTCTGCAACGGCGCGCAGAGGAACCTGAACGCGGGCATCTTCGTAAACGGGGAGCTTCACCCACGGGTGGAGAAGGGACCGCTGTTCTTCCAGCAGGTTACCCGAGATCTCGTCGTTGGTCATAGGCAAAAGGAGGTGAATGAGGGTGGTGAGATCTGGCCCGCCACACCCCGGCACGAGGTCTCGAAGAAGACGGATGAGGATGTTTCCTTTTGCAAGGGGCTTGATTGTATTGCTAGTCCTGAGCGGATGGAAGGGTTGGCTTGGTGATTGAACACATGCGGCAAATTTTCTGTTGAGCTTCAAGATTGTTAGCAGTTTGCGTATACCAAGAATGAATTTGCATAGCTATGTCCCTAGATTCAACCAATCGTCAATCGCCCGTCCGTAATCATTCCCATCAAAGAACCTATTAGCTTGGTCTCCAAAGGGGCCCACCCCTTCAAAGAAGATATCCTCAAACGACGGCCCGCCCGCCAAGTCACCCACCTGCGCATCGAGGCCCGTGTTCTGCGGCAGATCCACAGGCGGCGGATCTTCGTTTGGGGGCCAGACTGCCGCTTCGTTTGGCATGGCCTTGTGACCCGATATGCCCGCCGACCCCACGAGGTCGAACTCGGCAGCCCGGTCCTCGGCGGACAGCTCCGCGACGTCGGCCTTGAGCGTCGGCCCGAACATGGACTGGTCCCAGCCGGCGTCGGGGCGGACGGCCTTGTCGTAGATGAGCAGGTCCCACAGAAGCTGGCTGTTGATTGAGAAGGACCGGCTCTGGGAGGTTCCATCTTGCTGGGCGGGCGACGGTCTCAAGACGATACTGTCCTGGAGTCTCCTCAAATTGTCGGCCTATTCCACGTCAGCTTGCACACCTCATAATATCAGCTCACTCACCATGTTAGCAACACAAGGCCACACAGCCCCCATCCTCCTCAGAAACCTCATACACTTCTCAAACCCCGTCTGCGCCTTCCCCCTCAGCAGATCATCCTGCACAAAGCTATGCTGCAGATGGATCGTCGCCACAATCACCACGCAGTGCGCCAGCACGGGATCCGACACCTGCACGCCCTTCTTCTCCAGCACGTCGACAAAGTAAATCACCCACCCGGCGTTGCGGTTGATCGCCTCGAAGGACTGCTGCATGAAGTACACCGGGATCGTCTGCCGGAAGCTGCGCAGGCGCATGGACAGCAGGAAGGGGTGGTTGAGCAGGCACGGGATGGTCTCGTGCACGAACTGGATGAAGAGGAAGGGCATCCACCAGTGGCGCTGCGCCTGGATCGCCTCGGGCGCGTAGTCGCCGATGCGGTTGCAGGCGAAGCGGTACTTGGCGGACGCGCGGCAGTCGATGTCGTGGTGGGACTGCATGACGGTGGAGTAGTCGGAGCGCG